TCTCTTTCTCTTTAAGTTTCTCTGTCTCTTTCTCTCTGCAGAGCCCGCCCTGAGCGCGCCTTTCTGGAGCGTATTTCAGAGCACACGAGCCGCGCGCGTGCGCTCGCCCTTCTCTCTTTCCTTCTCTCTCTCTCTCTCTCTCTCCCTCTCTCTCTCTGTCTCTCTCTCTCTCTCTTTCTTTCTCTTTAAGTTTCTCTTTCTCTGTCTTTCTTTCTGCAGAGCTGAGCGCGCCTTTCTGGAGCGTTTCAGAGCCGAGCGCGCCGTCCATAGCACACGAACGCGCGCGCGCTCGCCCTGCTCTCTCTCTCTCTCTCTCGCTCATTCTCTTTAAGTTTCTCTTTCTCTGTCTTTCTCTCTGCAGAGCGCGCCCTGAGCGCGCCTTTCTGGAGCGTATTTCAGAGCGCGCGCGCGTGCCGTCCGTAGCACACGAGCACGCGCGCTCGCCTTGCTTTCTTTCCCTCTCTCTCTCTCTCTCCCTCTTTCTCTTTGAATTGATCTTTCTCTGTCTTTCTCTCTGCAGAGCGCGCCTTTCTGGAGCGTATTTCAGAGCGCGCGCAAGCGCGCCGTCCATAGCACATGAGCGCGCGCTCTCGCCCTGCTCTCTTTCCTTCTCTCTCTCTCTCTCTCTTTCCCTCTCTCTCTCTCTCGCTCATTCTCTTTAAGTATTTCTTTCTCTGTCTTTCTCTCTGCGCAGCGCGCTCTGAGCGCGCCTTTCTGGAGCGTATTTCTGCTCTCTTTCCTTCTCTCTCTCTCTCTCTCTCTCTCTCTCTCTCTCTCTGTCTGTCTGTCTGTCTGTCTGTCTGTCTGTCCGTCTGTCTGTCTGTCTGTCTGTCTGTCTTTCTTTCTCTCTCTGTCACTGTCTGTCTCTGTCTCTGTGTCTCTGTCTCTGTCACTGTCTGTCTCTGTCTGTCTCTGTCTGTCTCTGTCTCTGTCTCTGTCTCCCTGGAGAAGGCTGACTTGTGAAGGTTGGAGAGGTATGGAAGGTTGCATGGATGAGCCTGGAGAAGGCTGCAGTGAGTCAAGATGAGCACCTCCACTACCACTCCAGACCAAAGTGGCACCTTTTCAACCATATACTTGATGACATCAAATTCACAAGTATGAACCCCAAGGACACCTGGCGCTACAAAGACGAAACCTATGGGCACACCCTGCAGCAATATGTCACAGCCACGGGTGGCAAAAACAATTGCCAGATCTCTGCACAGGGAGTTCTTCTGTCTTCGATGGTGAACCCAGCTTTCCCAACACTCCAGAAGCTGAAGATCACGTTCTCTTTGAGAAGAACATCTCGTCCATCAAAGTCGCGCAAGAAAATTTCAACACTTTTTGCACCTCCTGCGGGGATACGATTTCCTTGTGCATCTTGTGGCTTGGTCCTGGCGCTGAATTCTAATTCTCCTTTCCCATGATCTGCCATACTCAAAGGGAATCACGCTACATCAGCTCCACTGTCAATAATAATGATGGCCACATCCTCATTCTCTTCCCCAAGTCTCTTTAGCATGAGTTCATCATCTCACACGTCAATCTCCTCAACTTCCTGGAACTCTGGCTCATCATCATCGTCTCCAATGTAGAATGTGAATTACTTCAATTCCATGATCTTCTAGCTCATCATCTCCTTCTCGCAAGTCAAAGATGATTGGCTCACCGTTCTCAATTCTTCTGACCACTGGTTTGGTCTCTGCTGAGCTACCTTGTTGGCTCTTGGCATGCTGTTGACCAACTGTATGAGTTGTCACTGATGCTCCTCCTGAAGATGAGTGGGCTTGATCACTTGCTACCGGTCGAAAATTGTTCCTCCATTAGCAAGATGTCCTGGCTTTCCACAAGTGCAACATGTTGCCACACCTTTGCCTTTTTGGTCTTCGCCTTTACCTTTGCCCTTGTGATCACCTTCTTTTCCTTTCTGAACTCCTTTTCCTTTCTTTCCTTTGCTCTTAGCATCTTTACCTTTGCCCTTCTGATAGTCATTCTTGTCCTTTTCGCATTTTTCCTTTGGCATCTTGGACTCGATCAATGTCCATTGGCATGGGTCTTTGATAGTCTGTCCTGCTGCTTGCCACCATGGAGGTAGCCCACTTCTGTTAACTCGATCCCATTGCAACACTTGTTCCGTCAAAGTTGAGTGTTGAACATTGTCGCCAATTGTCAAGTTCAAGTAGGATTTGACTTGTCCACCCACCTACGCATCTCAAAAGAATAGCAGATTGCAGCCCTTCCTGAATTGTAGTCCCTGACTTGACTGTCTCATCAAATACTTCTTCAGGCTTCACGAGTTGAAGTTGTAGTGCACTGTTCATTGAGAATGCTGGCCATGTAGTGGCTGCTGCCAAAAGTGCTAATGAAGTTGGTTTCAAAGCTTTATTCAAACTGCTCCAGGCATCAAATCCATTGGAGTCCTCCACAGCTTTCACCAATTGCAGCGCCCTTCCTCTCATCAATGAAGCTAACAATCCATAGAGCTTGATGCACCTGGTCTTCTCCTCTCGCGTTGCCAGGCCCCAATCAATTCATGAACTTCCTTCAAGTCCTTCACGTAGCCGTCAACAACTGCACTCAAATGCTTCTAAAAGACCCATGACCACTCTCTCTATGCTTTGATCTCTTCCTCTTGTGACTTATAGTCAAAGATGTTGGGCTTTGCTATCAATTTTGACCCATCTGTTGTTGATGACTTCTTGTCCTCAACTGCTTTCTTCACTGCCTCAGCTGCTGTTGTTGCCAGCGTACCCTGCGCTATTGTATGAAGGATTTCCTTGATCTCATCCACCCCTTCTGTGTACTAATGTCTCATTGGCACAATGTACTGGGTGCAGAGTGTTGCTCGCAATAATTCTTCACCAGTCCAGCTGTTCGGGTTCCAAAGGCCCCAAATCAAATCTATGACTCGAAAGCACCAGAGGAGCTTTATTCTGGAGCTCAGAGGTGGTTACCCTTATCCTAGCGCCGCTACCAAAAGGGCTGCAGTCAAGTGAAAATGACAGACATGATGCGAGTTATGCTGTACATCTCTTCTGTGGTTTACATGGAAAATGGTTCGCAATATACATATAGATATGATGTTGTTGTTGTTGTTGTTGTTTTGGGGGGTGCTTTTGTACTCGCTTCACAATGCAACATAGGAGTTGCTTCTCTGGAAGCCACCATCCACAGCAACGGAACACAGCTCCAGAACTGATGACGCGGCCTTGAATGTCACCAGACAAACTACCTGACAAAGGAAGGGATTATGAGGTCAAGTTGCGAAGGCAGACAATCCAACATGGGTTCGGGAAACAAGAACCTTCAGAATCGTGACCTGCAATTGACACAACCTTCTGCGCGAAGGTTTACCAAACTCTAGACTGGGAGCCTTCTAAGCCCTGGGTACTTCTGCGATATCAAATATAGTAGTCCCCTACTCGCTCCAGCAAGAAACACACACAACTGCTTTACGCTCCGCTCTCTGGCACACTTGTGCCTTGCTCTTCCTTTTGAGTTTCGCCACCACCTCCCTCGGCCTGCAGATTGTCGGCTAGCTGATCTAACCTGATTCAGCAGAAAGTGCCACACGTTGGTCTGTTTGGTCTCTTGATTCACGCACAGAACAGACTCTTCCGAACCATCATCTGTTGCCAGCCAACTCACAAACTTTGTTCCTTCACGATATCTATCAGGAACTTTTCAGATACGTCAAACTTGTAAGCCACAAGTCTTAATGAAGTGTGTCAGTCTCAATGTTTCAAGATCTTTGCTCCGATCAACGCGCTGCTGACAACCCAAATTCCATTCGCCTCCTCTTTTCTCTTTTCGCAGACTAGGGTTTTTTCAGGGGCCACACTGTCCTCACAATGCGCTTTGTGTTTTTGTTTGTTTGTTCGTTCGTTTATTTTTTTGAGGAGGGGTTGTTTTGTTTTGTCAAGTTTTGTCTGTTTTCCAATTCAATTGATTGGTTTGTTTTGCGCAGAAAATCACTTCGCGAGGGGCGAAAGTCCTGAGTGCCGTCTGGATATCGTACCTCAAGCAGCGAGTGCTGTCAGGTGGTATAGATGTCATCTAAAACCAAATACAGACCTGCCTTGTACGCGATGACGTCGGAACCACTCATCACTGCCTGCCGCAAACCAAACAACATCAGCCTTGTGAACCAATGATTCGTTAACCGGGGGTAGAGCGATCAGCACAAGGCTTGCGCTGTCAAAGCATATCAGTCGAAGCATGAGTAATAGGGAATATGAATGAGTTGAAACAATAACGTTATCATCACCGGACCCAGGCTAACTTTAAGAATCTTGAAAATAAACAACAAATTACACCAGCCAGCATAGACCCCAGATAGCAAAAACACGCAAAAGATGTTTACACACAGGAACCTTTTTCACATTGTAAACAGCCCATGCTCTGGCTGTTTGGAGGAAACATGTGGGACGCTGTACTTCGACTCATACTGTAACATGGTTTGTGAATCTGACACTTCAAGAATAGATCTGATTGATCCAAACCATATTGACCCACCTCTATCCTGCAATTTTTTTCGAGGAGCAAGACCGACTCTTCAGGGCGACGCGCCACTTCCTGCCCCTTCGATACCTAAAAGCACCCCAGCAAAATCATTGCGAAGCAATCGTATCAAATGACACAACAAGTGAACTTTTCCCTTGGAAGGCTGGCAGCTTGCAAGATCTTCGCTTGCAAGAACCACTCATCATAAAAAGTTTGACAATTATACGATTATATGTGTGTCTGTAAAAACGCAAAAGGGACGTAGGGGAACCCTTATTTTAAGCAAAACCAAAGGCCAAGCGCGAATGTGTGGTCCTGCCATGAGGCATTCCAGTAAACGCATGCTGCGTCACAACCAAACACCACACGCACGCACAGCCAGCTCACAGCACCCAGCACCGGCACCCTGTCTCCACCAGGACCACACCCGGCGCCGCACGCGGTTTCCACCACGGGCGCAGCCAGCTCACAGCACCCAGCACCGCCACACAGCCAGCTGCTCACAGCACCCAGCACCAGCACCACCAGCACCCGGCACCGGCCCGGCGCCGGCAGTCAGCACCGGCACGCTGTCTCCACCACGCGCACGGCTCACAGCACTTCTTTAGCACCTGTCTCCACCACGCACACCGCCAGCACCGGCGCCCAGCACCGGCGCCCAGCACCGGCACTCTCCACCACACGCACGGTCAGCTCACAACACCCAGCACCAGCACCACACCATCACCAGCCCCGGCACCGGCACCGACACCATGTCTCCACCACACGCACAGCTAGCACCCTGCCACTGCAGGGTGCAATCCAAAAAAATGTTTTGCATGTTTTTCCCCTGATAGCGACAGCTATGGAGTTCTTACTTCAAAGAACAATGAGTTGCCCGCGCGACCCCCGCGCGCTTTCGAGACAAGTTGCTGGTGCTGGGCGCCGGTGCTGGTGTGGTGCTGGCTGCTGTGAGCTGGCTGTGCACACGGTGGAGACCGGTGTTGGGCGCCGGGCGCCGGCGCTGGCGCTGGTGCCGGCTGCCGGTGCTGGGTGCCGGGCGCTGAGCTGGCTGTGCATGTGGTGGAGACAGGTTGCTGGTGCTTGGCATATGTGAGGGGGTCTATTTTCGGATCTTTTTTCCAGATAGTGAAGCTATGGGGTTCTTACTTCAACTGGCAATTAGCTGCCTGCACGCGCTTTCGACACAAATTGCCGGCGCCGGTGCTGGTGCTTTGAGCTGGCTGCGCGCGTGGTGGAGAAGGGTGCCGGTGCCGGGTCTGGCGCTGTGCGCCGGGCGCCGGTGCTGGTGCTGTGAGCTGGCTGCGCGCGTGGTGGAGACAGGTTGCTGATTGAGCTGGCTGCGCACGTGGTGGAGACAGGTTGCTGGTGCTGGTGGTGGTGCTGGGCGCCGGGCGCTGGTGCTGCGAGCTGGCTGCGCGCGTGGTGGAGACAGGTTGCTGGCGCTGGCGCCGGCTGCCGGCGCTGGGTGCCGGGCGTGGCGCTGGTGCTGTGAGCGGGCTGCGCATGTGGTGGAGACAGGTTGCGGGTGCTTGGTGGTGTAGCTTGCGTATACGGTCTATTTCAGATTTTTCCAGATAGCGAGGCTATGGGGTTCTTACTTCAATTAACATCTACCTTGCTTGGACACCTGACCGTTTGCACCAGGACTTTATGTATAAAGTCCTTGGTGTCTGAGGCTCTGGTGGCTATTTTTTCTTGGGGTCTGAGGATCCGAAACTTTCTGGAGCTAAGGTGTTTGGATGAGCCAAGTGCCTCATATATTTTCCTAGAGTTCAAGGCTCACCAAAACAATCACAACGTAGTCACCTTATAAAGTCCTGTTCTGAAGTCCTATACCTCGAGCCACTCAAGATATCGGGGCGCATTTCTTTCTCCTCCAGGATTTCATGGCACCGTACCGGGGAGCGACCGGAGGCATCGACCCCACCAAGCAAACCCACTCAGCGTCATCTTTAGCCGTTTATATGGTTTATACTGTAACTAGTTGCCTCAAGGACATGACAAATGAAGATTTCGCACAGCGATGTGCAGAGTGGCACGCGGCTTGCGCAATTACCTTCCTATAATCTTTACTCAGCCACTCCACTGGATTTTTGAAGGCTTCTGCTTTGCTGCACTGGAGGATGCAAACAGCGATTCCTAAATGTAAAAATTCACATTTTCACATGCCGCTTCACCGGCGTTACTTGAAAAAATGTGATTTTCAAATTTCACAAGTTTTCAAGGTTGCTTGCGCTTTCCCTTCTTATGCCAGGAGTTGCAACCTTGCAACAACGCCTGAGGAAGCTCCTTAGGGTCAATCGCCTGTAAGAAGGAGCCACCTTGTCAGTCAGAGTCAGAGGGGTGATTCTAGATTGTTTAAGCGCAAGCTTGTCGGAGTCCTTGCAGTAAACGGCTGGATCATTCTAGACAAGCCTCAGGCACCTTTTCCCTTAGACACCTCTGGCGCTGGCACTTTATATTCCTTCCACCCCTGCCCCCCCAGAAAGATGGAAAATGATGGAAAAGGCATCAAAGGGGGCGTTTCTAAGATTCTACAAAAAGAATTTGAAGGCTGGTGGCCTTCCAAGTTTGCTTTCTCCAGGATTTTCAGTCGCTAGGGGGCGGTATTGTCACGTTGATCTTTTTGGATCCGAGCGGCAAACGGAATCACATCTCGATGCCAAGCACAAGCGAGTGTGAGCCCGGAGGAGTGGAGTGGGTGCCACCTGGTATCTCCGTGTTTGCAGAGTTAGCTTGTTTAGCTGCTTGCACTGTTTGTTCTTCTGTTCACTCGTCGTCATGCCACCCCTTTGCTTTGACAAAAACGCAGCACCAGGAGACCTCAAGCATGCCCAGACCTCCAGCACCAAGAAAAAATGTATATTTCCAGGGCGTTAACCATCTGTTTTCATGCTGACATTTCTTCCTGGATGTTGAGGTCTCCAGGCCTTGATACCAAACCTCAGCTATATATATATACATTATATAACGCGTTTCAAGAACTAAGAAAAAATAATCTGCTAAACATCGTGTATAATTAACAATGAGCTGCCTGCGCGTCCACGCGCACACAACGAGCACAAGCACCCAGCACCGGCGAAGCAAAGCGGCGCCCTATTTTTGGTTTTCTTGCGTTTTTCACTTTTTCGTTTCTTTTTTGAAGAGGGAGGGGCGTCCTTTTGTTTCGTGGGTTTCCCTTTTTTCGTGTGTTTTTTGCGCGCGTTCTTTTTTCGCATGTTGTTCGTCTTTTTCTTTTTTGCGTTTTTTGTTTGCCTTTTGTTGTTTCCCTGCTATTTTTCAATTTGATTGTTGTGTGTTTCTTGTGTTTTTTTCGCTTTTTCGTTTTGGTGCAAATCGGGTGCACTTTTTTCGCTTTTTGTTTCGCTTTGTTTTCGCTTTTGCTGTTTCATTTGCTCTTTTTCGCTTTTGGCTTTGTTGTTTTTGCTTTCGCTTTTTGTTTCCCCAGACAGTGTGGTCACACTAGGGTTCTTACGGTAGTGGTGATTCGCTGCTATTTACACTACATTCACGCCTCTCGAAACCCTCGACTGCGCAGGCTCGCAGAATCTGGTGGGCTGGCGCGGGCGCTTGTCGCGACTGCGCACTCGTCGTGGCACTGCGCGCACTTTCGGGCACTCTGGTCACTTCTCGTGGCAGGTGCAAAGGAAACGTCGTGTTTTGGTGGTCCAAAGTCGACTTTTCGTGACAGGTATTGGAGCGACGTTACTTCGACGCGCCGACTTCGTGGCAGGCACAACACTTCGGATACGGGGTCTTCGGCACGCTCTAATTTCGTGACAGGCGCAAATGAATCGTGTTTTGGACATGTGGGTCGTTTTCAGACCTCCAGGGAAGCTCGCGCGAAAGCTGCGTTTTGGCGTTGTCTTTTGAAGCGCTCTTGCAGCAAAAAGCCTTGGCAGGGCTGCGCCATGTGAATCTTGAAGCGCAGATTTTGTGGCAGGCGCAGCACTTTGTGAGCCTGGAAGTGCGGATTTGATGGCAGGCGCAGCACTTTGTGAGCCTCGAAGTGCAGATTTCGTGGCAGGCGAGGCACTTTGTGAACCTCGACGCGCAGATTTCGCGGCAAGTGCAGCACTTGGTGAACCTCGAATCGAAGTGCAGATTTCGTGGCAGGCGCACACTTTGCCTCGAAGTGCAATTCGCGGCAGGCGCAGCACTTGGTGAAGCTGGAAGTGCAGATTTCGTGGCAGGCACAGCACTTTGCGAACCTCGCAGCGCAGATTTCCTGGCAAGTGCAGCACTTTTTGAACCTCGAAGCGCAGATTTCATGGCAGGCGCAGCAATTTGTGACTTGTGAACCTCGAAGTGAAGATTTCGTGGCAGGGGCAGCACTTTGCGCAGCTCGACGCTCTCGATCTCAAGACCTCCTCTCAGATGCGTGCGCTCTCATATGTGTACTCTCTGGACCTTGGCCTCTAGATCTCCAAACTCTAGCCTTCAGACTATGACGTTTGATATCTCTCGATCTCAAGACCTCTCACACTCACACTCACACTCGCACTCTCACTCACTCACTCACTCACTCACTTACTCACTCACTCACTCACTCACACTCACTCACTCACCCACTCACACACTCACCCACCCACACACACCACCCATCACCACAATCTCCACCTACATCGC